TCCCTCTCTCTGCCCCTCTCCCGCTCTCTCTCTCTCTCCCTCTCTCTCAAAAATAAATAAACATTTAAAAAACTTAAAAAAAAACATGCACATACATGCAGAGATGCAAGCACGCACATACATAGACACAATATCAATATTTATTACCTCCTTTCACCTTGATAGCTGATGTAGAAATACGAAATGATAAAGCACTCCATACTGGTTCCACCTGCTGTGGATCCTTCTGACCATGCGTTTCCTCTCACTCTGGATCATACAGATGTGTGTGTGTGTGTGTGTGTGTGTGTGTGTGTGTGTGTGTAACAGCCTGAGAACATGTTAAATGTGAAATACAAAATATAAAAATACAGCCGCTTTTCACCATTTTCATGAAGTTGTCTTGTGAAATTTTTATTTCAACACCAATCTGCTTGGAAAGCTTTTATTCTTATGTCAAGTGATACACTTGATTGGAATGCTGAACCTTTCACGTGAAGTTTAAATTAATACACAGATTCTGTACTTTACAGAAGCAGTGAATCACAAATAGATGATTAACGTATTACAGACTGATTCCGTCTTCCAAATACACCTACACTAGTATTGACATTGAAGTAGGTGTCAGAACCAGTAATACACCTTTTATATACACTACTTCTTGTATACATGTTTATACTTATATTTATATACGCCTGACCCAAATCTGTCCTGGGGCCAAGGTGCCACTGTACTTCATCAACCAAAAGGTATCTATTCTGCAGGTATTTAAAACCAAAACCTCCCACATTATCCAATTCTGGGACTCTTCTCTTGTCATCCACTTAAGTTTCTCTTTCTCCCAGGTGGGGGTCAGAACAAATGCTAACCAAGCTAGGATTCTCCCACTACGCTGCCACCTATTTTTGCCCTTCCTACGAGTACCTTGGCTTTAGCAGACAAGTCGACCTTGACCTCATCGCGGAAGAACACACCTCTACTTCCGATCTCCTCCAAAACCACTGACCCCCGGCCTGGGTATGCCTCCTCCAGAACTGCCTCTCTTCTTACCGGCCACAGGCACTAGTACACACACAATGTGGTTTCATAAAGCACCGGAGCCAGGAAGACGTCTCACCCACTCCTTTTGACCAGCATGCACGCACACACACACGCACCGACGCACGACAGTGCGCACAAAGGCCAAAGAGGATACTTAAACACTAGTGGCCTCCATGATGATTCAGTCTGTCTCCCCTACCCCCACGTACTCTTGCACTCGCCCTAATAAAGAAGTTTTACCAGGGCTAGGGTCTTTTGTGACAAGTGACCATCCCGCACTAGCTTCCCTCCCACTTTACCCCATCCCACACAGGACGTCGCGCACACACACAGAAACGCACGCGCGCGCGCACACACACACACACACCGCCTGAAGAGCCAGAAGTGAGATGAGTGCACCTGCAAAATGGAAGTAGTGATTACCCATTGGCTGCATGACATAGAGAGTTTTAATTGCCTTAAAACGCCCTGAGAATAGGTCCACAAATGGATCATTAGTTTTAAAAAACAGGCAGAGATTGTTTACTTTTGGACATTCTTTTCTCTTTTGCTCTAAAACCCTGTATTATTCTGCAAAAAAACAAAAACAAAAACTCAGAGACAATATATTTCAGAAATGTGTTCCATGTTAAACTTATTCTTTATTTTTAAAAGTATACTGCTTTAAAATAATCGCTACATGTTGCATACATACCTATGTGGTAACTAAAAAAAAATTTGTTATGTACCTATGGATGATATATAATACCATGTGATTCTTATATTATGTATTCTATTTTTCTCTGGTTTCCAAATATTTTAATATAATAATGCATCATTGGCCAGTAAACAAATGGCATGTGGTATTGAGTTTGGCATACACAGCTACAAAGATAATGAATGTACTCAGTGGTGAGGAAGTAACACCACAGTCACTATATTTTCCTCTTCATTAACCAGGCTTGCCAGTACCTTGCCAGTCCTTAAGTACTGCTGCTAAATTTGCCACTTAGCCTTCCTTAATACTTGCAGAAATCCTGGAGATTTTGTTATTAAACTGCAAAGTATGTTCTTTCACTTTTTGTTAAATTAGAAACAAATTAGGGAGACAATTATTAATAATTCAATAAAAATTTATTGCACTCCTATTGTATACCAGTTTTTAGTATTTCACAGATAAAAACTTAGTAATAAAAATAATACAGATACACCTATACAGCACTCACTGTGTCATACAGATTTCAAGCACTTCATATAAACCAATTAAATCTTCATAATAATCTGACGTAGATGCACAAATTATTATTATACTTTTACAGATATGAAAACTAAGACACACAAAGTAGCTTGTACAAGGTCACCCAACTAGTAAATTACAAAATTGGGATTTGAATTTAAGCAGCCTGGCTTCAAAGATGAATCACTCTGCTATATGGTATATAATACTAAATACTGTAATTTACACCATAAATTATTAGGTTCCCCCAAAATGGAATTTTATTGCATTTAGGCATTTCAGTATATTCCCTGGGAATACCAAAATTCTAACAAGGCCCAACAGCCACCTTAACAACCCTTTCAGGACTTTATAAATGATACATTTTTCAACAGAACAATTACAAAAAGAATTAAGGTAAAAATTCTATTCTTAGTCACACTTGGGCCCTACCTCCTAGTATAGGCCTCTCTGGTATATGGGCTGAAGCCTATGGCCTACCCTCAAAGCCTAAATTTTCTTTCCACTAGTCTAAACTTAAATCAAATGAACATCCATCCCAAGACAAGCTGAGAGTGATGACTGCCTCAAATTTCATCCCTGAGAAGGGGTGAAAGAGAAGGAAATATAAAAAAGCAGTCCCTGACATTAGGAACCTGGTCTGGTCCTCACAGCTAGGCCATGCTATTCTATTGGATAAACCATCTAATAGAATACCAACTTCAGACAAGGTTATGCTGGAACTGTATGAAAATGAGGCAAAGTAAGGCCATCTAATTTTGTCTAAGCACAGACAAAAACAAGGTCACAAAACACCAAACATCACTACCATTCTAGTTAAAGTCAGTGGCTACAACCTCTTTACCAATTACAGCTTTATCCTTGTTCTAGTATCTCCCCCCTATAGAAGAGATTTATTGAACTACCAATCATTAAATTGTCCTACAATATAGAATAAACCCCCACTTCCATAGACCCTCCATCAAATCACACAACCAAAGCCTAAATTCTGCAATATGTTTTCTAACACTTACTTACTGATAACACACAATGGTTCCCCAGGATGTGTGTTCTCCTGGGGGAGATGATGGAGACTGTGGGTATGTTCAACTTGTTCACCTATGTTCAACTTGGGCATGTGCTTATTCAACTATGGGTATGTCCTTGATGGTCTTTGGCTGGACACCACTGACATGAGGGATAAAGCAAAGGGGCTGGTCTGCCCTTACAGAAAGCCCAGAAACAGCTTTACTGCTCACTCTTCTGGAGGCAAGAGAAAGGGATAAGGAGAGACTTCAAGATGCCTGATCCTCCTCTGTAAAATAGCAGGAAAGATACACCCACGTTCCTGACTTTTTAATGCATAATAACAATAACAACGACTAAAAGGGTCCCAATCTTTATTTTGTGGAAGGGTTTGAAGGGGAGTTGGGAATTTAACAAACGTCAAGACTGAGGGTGGTGAAGACTATGAAAATGTTTACATTTATCAAGCATACATTGTATTTCCCAACTTAGGTTCCCCTATAATAGTAAGTTGTCTCTAGTTCCTTATACCCTGCCAACCATTGCAACCCCATAGAAAAGCAAGTGAGCATTTACTATTGACCCTGGGAGGAAGATATATTTAGAGGAGGATCCCATCCAGACAGGAAAAGGAAAGAAAAAGCCCATTATCTTCCTCCTCAGTTGATTGTAAAGATGAGGCAGAGGTAAAAAAAAAAAAAAAAATCAGTGTTATAAACTTACCTCTCTTAGCCAAAATCCGAAGGAGGCATGTTCAATAATGGAGGAATAAGTCACAAGCAAAAGAGATTTTGTTCCACTTTCATCTTATAATTCTGTGGGATCACATCACAATCACCTGGGATGGAAGAGTGGATAGGCAGCAATAACGAGACACAGCACTTCTTAGCCACTCTCAGATCTCACACGGCTTGGAAAGGATTTAAAAATTCCCTGTTGTCCCAGAGGGATAGATGTGACCTTCACAGAGTCTGCCAAAATGGGAAGCTGAACCTCTGGGTTTCCACACGTGAAGAAGGCAATGCCAACTCTGGGACAATGTCAGCTCTCTAACCAACCACATCCCTTTTCCCTAGTCAGTGCAGCCCCCTCCCCACCAATGTCATAAAACAATATAAGCCCCTGTACATCCAGATGACATTGTGGAAGGGTAGGTAAATCTGAAATATAGACTAACACACAGGAGCCTGTTATTTATGCAGTGTTTAAATTATAAACAGCAGTTAATTTCCTGGATTAAAACTGAGACTTTTGTTTCTCTGCAAACTTGGGGTGTGGAGGTGCACTCAGAATTAAAATTACATTAGTTATAAAACCTAAGATAGTTTCTTTGCACATCTAAGTATAGTGTTAGTAAATCTGCATGCATATTTAAACACATTGAAAAATAATAGAAAGTAAATCAAGACATTAACAGTGCTTATCTTTGGGGAGTGAGTATATGGATTTTGGTTTAATCAATGTATTGTTTAGTATTTCCTAAATGTTTTCCAATAAGCATAACACTTTTATAATGAGAAAAAAAGATAAGTTGTAAAACAGGAAACACACTGAAATTTTTATTTATTTTATTTCGCAGTGAAAGAACATGAAAAAAACTTTTCAAAATGATCATGTGATTACTTCCAATGAATGATTAAGTTTACTATAGGAAGAGAAATTACACACTGTAATTACAGTTTACATAATTACACAGAACAACATGTGGCAATCTTTTGAAAGCACTGTGATTAACACTTCACTGATAAACAATAACCTTAATATAACTAAGTTTTATTATTTATCATGGTCAAATAAAATACAAGAGCCTATGGATAAGCTGTTACTAACAATAAATGCAGTTTTATCTGAAAATTTTAACCATATGCAGGCTTCTTAAGCATTCAAGTTTTAAATTCTACTGTATTTTGTTGCAAAATGAAGCAGGTACAAGAGAATAAACCCACTAGATAAAGGACTAAGAAAACACACACACACACACACACACACACACACACACACACACAGCTTCAAAAAACCTTGGGTTGGTTCTCCAAGATTTTCTTTCCAAACAAATGTTGGTCTCATTTAGCAGTTCTGATAATATTCACAGCCACAGATTAATAGCTATATGTTTAAAGGACTTTAGAAGGATTAAACTACACATTATATAGATATTTTAAACCATCTACCACAGTTTATATTTCTTGAAAACATTCCACTACTAAAATGCAAGGTCACATTAATTAGTATTTAAATCTCTCTCATATTTCTGAGACCTATGTTTTAAATGACCCTACAAGAAAAAATTCAGAACACAAGGCTCTAATTAACTTCTTGTATCTTGAGTAACTAGATCTACAGCAGTTAATGTCAGGACCAAGTACACTTTGCTTTAGCGATCAACATCTTCTACTATTCCCTCAAGATTTTTGCAACAAGCTTTAACCTCCTCAATTGCAGCCATCCAATTATCATAAATAATTTTGTCATAAATTGCATCATTAACTTCCCTAACTACCCCCTCCTGCTGAGATTCAAGTGCATCACCTGAGAAAAACAACACTGATCTTGGTATTATGTAAGTACGTAAATTGTGACCAAGTAAAAAATCATCATTTCCATCCTTTCCATTTGAGTTGATTCCATGAGGAGTAAAGAAATTGAAGAACGAATCCTTGGGAAAATCTTCAGTTACAGTTCGGATTGTCCCCCAGATCCGGTGTTTCTGCTTCTTCCTGATGGTTTTCAAAGTGACATTCTTACCTTCATTCCAATCTATCTCACAGCCTATGCAATACTCAATTGCAGTTCCCCTATAGGGATGGGGATCATAATACGCCAGCCTTGACTTCAGCACATAAGTTTTTGTTAACAGCTCATTTTTGAAATATTCATTGGGCTTGAAGTGAAATTCTAGCGTGAAACTGAGAGGCTCGCCAGGATCTGAAAGTTTCACTTTAATATCTGTCAGGAGCTTCAGAATAGGCTCATCATATTTCTTAATCAAAGGAGTGAGTGTGTCAACGTTTTTTAATACAGTCAGCCAAAAATTAGGAATTCCTTTAGGATCCTGTTCTTCTTTATTCTCTTCTCCGGTAGCCTCGATGTCGTCATCAGTATCCTCGTCATCGTCATCATCCTCCTCCTCCTCGACAGCATAATCATAATAATCTCCTTCACAACCATCATCCTCATCCATATACTCATGTACCAGACCCTCCTCATTACCATCCATTTCTTCCTCATCATACATCTCATCATCGTAGTCCTCAGAGTCTGACTTATATTCACATTCCTCTTTTGTAGGTTCATAGATTGCATTTATGATCTGACGTCTTTTTTCCAATAACGGTTGATACATTTCAGCAAACTTCCTTTCAATGCCATGAAATTCCCTCAGAAATTTGGATTCCAGATTGGCCACTCTAGTTTGAAGTTTTTTGAGGGCTAACACACGGTACTTAACTTTCAAAGGCAGACTTTCAACAAAGTCTGTATCTAAAAGATAACCAATAAGTCCTTTTGGACGGTCTGTGTCTGAATCCTCATCAGTATCTTCATCTTTTACCCCGCCTTCCCCGGACCTAGCAGCAGCATCTTCACCTTTCTCCCCTTCTTCCCCAGGTCCTGCGGCGGCTTCCTCACCGTGCACTTTATCATCTCCAGGCCCAGCTGCGACATCTTCACTGCGCTCCGGTTGTTCCCCGGGTCCCTCCATCATTACCTTATTACCAGCCTCTTCTTGACTAGATTCTAACAGTTCCTTGTGGTCGGCTGACTCGGCCATTTTTCAAAAGACCGTACACGCTTAAGGTGGCTATCGCCAAGATAAGGAAGGAGACCTGACCTCCGCAGGGAAAGACTCACCGGAAAAGCAGAAGCAGAGGCGGCTGGGACAGAGGTGGAATGCGCAGTGGTGGCAGGCTGCAAGAGTAATGGTTGAGGCTGCTGCCGGGATGAAGGCTGTGCTGAGGCCGCGAGAAGCGGGAGGAGGCAATGGTGCCCTGGGCTGGAGCGCAGAGAAGGCGATGGTCGGTCTTGCAGGAACCATCCAGAGACTGCAGAGAGCTGCAGTGGGCGGACCTCCTCCGCAAGCAGCTAGTGCCGCAAGAAAAAAATGGTGCCACAGTATGATTACGCAGACGTCTCCTGACTAGATTTTCTTGGTGCATATAGTTTGCTGAGTCACTCCCTTCCTCCCTACGACTCTGCTCTAATTTCATTTGCTGGGCTACAGTGATTGACAAATCCTGAGCCAATAACTTATTAGATCTATCAAGTTTCCAAGCCCGCTCACCTTCCCAGGTTCTCTAATATAGCTGATTCATCTACCTCTAACTTAACCTCCAACCCCCACCCCCACCCCTGATTTTTCCAGAAACTTAAATTTTATTTGTTTATTCTTTCAATTTGTAACTAGTATTATACTTTTATGATTTCAAGAAAAGCTAAAAGAAAATAGTACCTAAAATGTCGGACAAGGAGAGAAGACAAGGCATCCACCCATCCTAAATTTGTCCCTTTAATTTTAGCCCCAGGCTCTGGGAGGAGGAAAGGGGTTTGGGGAGGGATTTATAAAGAGAGGCAGAAGGGAAAACACTAAAAAGAAATTAGCTATCTTGGTCTTAAGGTGATGTAACTGACAGTGATTTAAATATTCTATTTTTGTTTTTTTACTGTATTTTCCACAAGCTTAATGGTAAGTGAGCAGCAATTTTAAATTGGAAATGCTCCTAACATTTCCTGGGATAGGAGAGGGGACAGAAGACGTGATTAGTTAAGGTTAATGTGAAATACAGCCTAGTTAAACTTTGGTGAAGATCCAACGTGCTGTATCCAACTGTCTGACAAGTGAACACACAAGACAATAAACCAGTTGCCTGGCTAATCAGCAACTCACTCCTAATACGGACTTCCCTCTTCCTCCTTTTTGATTCTGGCTGTCAAGCCATTGGGAATTTTAAAAAGAAATGTTTAAATGTAAAGTAATATTTATTTTACAAATCACAGCACTTGCTTGACGCTTTTGTTACTGAAAATATTCCAAATCTCAGCATTACAGACATGGTTAAATATATGCCAGAGTATTCACAAGGTGGAATGCTATGTATGCAGTCATTTAAAAATTTCCTCTGGTTAGGAATCATTGATGATGTTTATTTTGTCCATATTTCCAATGTTGGTCATTTATTAATTGAATAATTTTAAAAATTTTACTATTTCCCGGATTTAAACAATCTGTATTGTGTTATTATCACAAAGATAAACACTGTTTACATATTTTATTTCTTTTCAGACTCTTGCAGTATACTGGTAATTTTTTTCTTTTTTCATATTTTATTTCTGTGTACTGTGTATCATTACAATATTTACAAAATTCAATTTTCAGGCTTATGTATTGATCTGGTAGGTCCCTTGTTATGAGTCCATTCATTGCTTTCCAAGTTTCCTTTTTTCTGGTTCTAGAGTTGCACCATTCCTTGTAGTTATCTGATATAAATACAACACATGCTTATTTTTGTAAAATTTGGAAAATGAGGAAAATTTTAGAGTATAACAGAAATCACTAGTAATCTCACAACCCTGAGAGAACCAATGTGAACATTTTGGTCTTGTTCTTTCTAACATGTCTACATATGTGTTCTGTTTGGGCTAGAGTTTTCTCAAAATAAAACTGAGATAAACTCTTTTATAAACTTTTCCCTCTCACTAACATATTCCAGTATACTTAAGTAGTTTCTAAAAATGTAATTTTAAAAGAAAACCCACTATTATATAAATATATTATGATGTTAAACCAAACTATTAAAAGATGAGGAGAATGTGTGCCATCTAATTTTAAGATTGAAGAGTCCTTCATAGTCATACATGCAGTCACAGAAACCATAAAGGGAATGATGTGTTTCATTACATATAACAAAAGTATATGACACCAAAGCATAGGCAACAAAACAAAAAATAGATAAATTGGAATTCTTCAAATTGGAAACATTTGTTCACAAAAAAATACTCTCAACAGAGTTAAAAGGCAGCCCATCAGGTGGGAGAAAATGTGTGCAAATCATATAACTGATAGAGGATTAATATCCAGAATACATAAGGAGTCCTACAACTCAAGAATAACAAAAACAAGCAAATCAGTTAAAAATGGGCAAAGGACTTGAAAATATGTCTCTACAAAGAAGAGATACAAAGGGCACCTGAAAAGATGTTCAATATCACTAATTAGAGAAATGCAAATCAAAACCACAAAGAGGTATCACTTCACACCCATTAAAATGGCTATTATCAGAAGAATAAAAACAGAAAATAAGTGTAGACAAGAATATGGAGAAATTGGAAACTTTGTGCATTATTGAGGAATGTGAAATGGTGCAACTCCAATAAAAAGCAATATGGTAGAACCTCAAAAAAATCAACATAGAATTACCATATGATCCAACTATTCCACTTCTAGGTATATACCCAAAAGAAATGAAAGCAGGGTATCTAACAGATATTTTTACACTCATATGTTCATAGCAACATTTAAAAGAAAAACTTAATGTTTATTTATTTTTGAGAGAGAGAGAGTACAAGCAGGGGGTGGGGCAGAGAGAGAGAGGGAGACACAGAATCTGATACAGTCTCCATCCAGGCTCTGAGCTGTCAGCACAGAGCCCGATGTAGGGCTCGAACTCGGGAACGGTGAGATCATGACATGAGCCAAAGTCGGATGCTTAAATGACTGATCCACCCAGGTGCCCCAGCAGCATTTTCCACAATAGCCAAAAGGTGGAAACAATGTAAATATCCATTGATGGAAGAATGGATTTTTTTTTAAAAAAAGTAGTACATATATACAATAGAAATATTATTCAGCCTTAAAAAGGAATGAAATTCTGACACATGATACAACATGGATTAACCTTGAAGACATTATGTTAAATGAAATAATACAAACATAAAAAGACAAATATTTTGTGATTCCACTTATATGAGGTATCTAGAATTGTCAAATTCATAGAGAAAGAAGGTAGAATGGTGGTTGCCAGAGTCTCGGGGAAGGTGGGAATGGGAGTTTTTGTTGCCATTTTGATACTTGTTTTGTGGTTGTTTTTTTTTTTATAAATTTTGTCTGATCCTGTCTTCTTTTGCTCTCTTGCATGGTTTGTTGGCTCTCTTTAGTGATATGCTTGGATTCCTTGCTCTTTAGTTTGCATATCTATTACTGGTTTTGACTTGTGGTTACCACTACATTTGCATATACCATCTTCTGCATATAGCAGTCTATATTAAGTTGATGGTCACGTAAGTTTAAACCACAGGGCACCTGGGTGGCTCAATTGGTTGAAGGCCTGACTTCAGTTCAGGTCATGATCTCACAGTTTGTGAGATCAAGCCCCGCATCGGGCTCCATGCTGATAGTGTGGAGCTTGCTTGGGATGGGATTCTCTCTCTCTCTCCTCTTTCTCTGCCCTTCCCGTACTCATGCTTTTTTTTTCTCTCTGTCTCTCAAAATAAATAAATAAACTTAAAAAAATGTAAACCCCTTCTTTACTCCTCTTTCCCCCATGCTTTGGATATGTGGTGTCATATTTTACATCCTTTTATTTTATGAATCCCTATACTGCATTTTACAGAAATACTTATTTTTGTTTTTTGCTTTTCATACTCATGGTCTTCCTTTCCACTCAAAGAGTCTCCCTTAATATTTCTTCTAGGGCTGGTTTAGTTGTCATAAACTCCTTTAGGTTTCGTTTGTCTGAGAAACTCTTTGTCTCTCCTATTTTGAATGATAGCCTTGCTAGATAGAGTATTCTTGGTTAAGGACTTTTCCCTTTCAGCACTTTGTATCATGCTACTCCATTCTGGCCTGCAAACTTTCCAATGAAATATCCACTTATTGCCTTGTGGTTTTCCTTTATATGTAATTGTCTTCTTTTCTCTTGCTTCTTTTACATATTTTTCTTTTCTAATTTATTTCTCTAATTTTTGCCACTTTAATTACCTTGTCTCTTAGTATGGTCCTCCTTGGGTTGATTTTTGAGGGTGAACTCTGTGCCTCATGCATCTGGATATCTCTTTCCTTCCAGATTAGGGAAGTTTTCAGCTATTATTTCTTTATGTTTTCTGCCCTCTTTTCACTCTCTTCTTCTTTGAATAGCCCTACAATGAGAATGTTATTATATTTGATGGAGTCACTGAGTTACCTAAAACCATTCTCAATTTTCATACTTTTTTCACTCATTTGTTCACTTTGTTCACTTTCCATTACTGTGTCTTTCAGGTCATTTATTCATTCTTCTGCTTCATCTAGCTTGCAATTAATGTAGTTTTAATTTCATTTATTATGTACTTAATCTCTGATTGGTTCATTTATATGTCTTTGTTAAGGGTCTCAACTCTTTTCTTAAATCCAGTGAGTATCTTTATGATGCTTAGTTTCAATTCTCTATCAAGCATCTTATTTATATATGTTTTGCTTAGGTCTTGCACTGTGGTTTGGTACTGGTCTTTCATTTGGAACATATTTCTCTATCTCCTCATTTTGTCTAACTCTGTGTGTGTTTCTCTGTGTTAGGAAATACATCTTTGTCTCTTGCTCCTGAGGTAATGAACTCATGAAGAAGATGTTCTGTAGTGCCCTGCAGTGAAGTGTCCTGTGTATGGTTCTTCAGGGAGTATCTTCTATATGTGTAGTGTGTGCCCTGCTATTGAGTCCTGGTTTCTTTTCATTCACTTCACGTTTCTGTAAAGGCTCTCTTTGCCTGTTGTGGGCAGGGTTTGGTCCATGGCCAAGTTGGTCATGTTTTTACAAGGTGTACATTGGTCTATTTGCAAAATGAGACCTGTCTCCACTACTGCCACCAGAACTAGGTCCAGAAA